AGCCGCTTTGTTTAATCGAATATACGGGTGTTCCAAGGTTGCCTGTACAGGTTTCAGTGTCGCTGAATATCATTTGGCTGCCCCCCCCAAGTCGAATTGCGCCCTCGGTGTGCATGCGGTTGCCTTTGTAATATCGTATAGTTGCTGAAAGCAAGGCTTATCGCAAAGGGAGTGATCCACGTTGATCGCTCTGTTCCTTTGATCTATGGGAATATTGCAAATAGTCATTTTTGGCAAGGTCTTTGCTCGAAAATATGACATTTCTACTATTTTGTATTTCTCACCCAAGGCCCCCTTCGAAAGACATAATCATAAGAAGTTGCATTTTAGGCACCAGTTGGATCTATTGGCACAAATGTGCCAGGAACAACAGTACTTAGCCATAGATCCGCCCCCTGAACGCAAGCTCCTGAACATCTCTCAACAACTACCAGCTGAAACTCCAGGCATGCAGTCCCTTTGTCCCAACTTTTGACAGCGGGTTGTATGCAAGGCACGCCCGGGGCTCATCATTGCTGGGCACATTCTGCCACATTTTTCAGAAAGTACCTGTAATAATCCAAGAAGTCTGCATCAGCAGTAATTTTCTTAGAGCTCTCAGCCAATTCGACCAGCTTCCGCAATGGTTGGCCTAACCATCCGATGTGAACCTCATCATTGACCTCAATAACAGAGTGATTAGAAGCCCGAATTTTGTAGTTGTTCAAGGCTGCGTTCATACTCTGCGACTTGAGTGGCTGAGTGGCGCGATTTGACTTCCATGCGATTTTATTGCCAACCGTGCTCTATTGATAATCGTTTGACAGCTGCAACAGCAAATCACGTTCACACTCAGGATGGAGATTCTTCTGACAATCGCAGCTAACCAAAATTTTTGATAGAACGTGGTCGCGAGTCGCGAGGTATGAACGCGGCACAATGGTGAGGAATGTGATTCCACTGCATCCAAAAGAAATCTATGAGAAAGACCGTGATTCAGCCCTTCAAACTTACCAGTCTTGTCTCCATTAGTATGTCGCGATGTTTCTCACTAAGTACTGAGTTACAGATTAATTCCTGAACCTTTTTATTGGCTTCACCTCGGCATACGCACAGATCGGCTAGGTAGTCAAGGAACCTGGAATCGGAAACAAATAAAAACGGAAAAATTAGGTTGAGAAAGGGCGTTACGTTGGAATTAAGTTGGTCTTTTGTGTTCACGAGAATAAATCTGCCCTGAATCAAATTCATCGGGACCGGATTTCTACAATGCACCAGCCGACGAAGTTGGGTGGTGGATACCGGCCGGAAGCCAACGGTTCAGTTTTTGACAGTATTGAAATAGTCACGGTCGCCAGTCCCGGTGCTGGAGTTCGCAGATGCTCAAACTACAGTTTAAAGCCGTGCATGGGAGCGGAATAGAGTAACGAGGACGAGCTGGGGAGGGGAACCTTAAGGCTGTACAACCTATGGTTACAGTTGTGGTATGTACCTGCACCTATGGTTTAGTGTTCTCGAAAAAGTTTCTGAACGTGTTGAGCCATGCACAGATTCTGTTCTGAGGAATGTGACAAGAGGATCGTAATTCGCCGCGCTGGTGAGCGTCGCGTGCGACGTCGCGCCCGCAAATGACGATGGTTCCAGGTAGTAGATGGCGACAACAGGCAATTCAGAACCGAAAATAGTCATGAATGTCTACGATGACGGGGTCTACATGAAGTCCGGTGCTCCAGTCGACAGGTTAACACGAGTTAAGAAAACGCCGCGCCGATCGCCGCGCGCGGCGGAGCGGCAAATCACGATTCTCTTGCCCGTCTCCCTCTGTTCTCTGATGATACCGTTTCCCACAAAAGGCCGAGGCATATTAAAATGCAATAAAGCCCTGCATCTAGTCGCAGAGAATCTTGCATTGCGCGCATAAGTCTCATGGGAGGATGAGTTGCACCTAACGATGAGCCTCTGCAAAGTAGCTTTCCACGCTCATCGTGTGGGCGGAGTCATTGAACCACTGCGCCTTTCCCAGACTCGACTTCTACTAAAAACAAACCTATTAGTGAGGAAACGCGATGGACTCCGACCATACAAACAGCGCGGAATGAGGATAGTGGAAGCATGGGGTTGCAGGTCATGGTGCTCACAAAAGAGGAACCGGTTCTTGACATTAAGTGCATTGTCTCTGGAGTGAGAAACATAGCCCAAGCTTTTCACCCGGGAAAAACTTGGCCTAATTTTCAGCAGCGGACATATCTTCAGGATGCGAAGGGAAACGGAGAACTGGCAACTGCTGAAATGCAACTTCTCGAGGACGGATATCTCACAGGGGAGCCACTTTTCTAGATTTCCAGTTTCCGATATTATATGGGACTTACAGCCTGTCGACCGTTTTCTTCAAAAACCGCTGGGGCGTTATGGGGGGGGAGGGAAATCGTCCGTTTTCCACCATTTGCTGTCACTTGCCGGCTTCAACAATTGGTGGAGGGGCCGGTGCAGACCACCTGATACGCCCGGACCTTTGGCAGCGAGAGACGACTATACGTGCATCTTCAAGAACTGTGATAATCTACTGCGAAGCACTGCCACCAGCACTGCACATCACGGACCACATGACACAATATTCGCTTACCCAAAATTGATTAAAAATTTACCGCATTCCTTCGATAATACAGAAAACTCTACAGAAGAAACAGTTTGGAAGA